GTCAGAAGGAATTTCAGTCAATACATGATTAAAATAAGCTATATTTTTAAGGGACACTTAAAATTTTTAGATTCAAAGTTTCCCTATTTTACAAGAAACTAGCTCCTATGCAACATTCCATGAACAGTGACTTATGTAGGGGGTGCTGAAGAGCTGAACAATGTGTGTTTATATTAAACTTAACTGTCTTATGCAGGTTAAGTCTTCCCTTCTATTCAGTTCTTGTTGCAGATGGGAATGCATTTTGCATATATCATGATATGCTATTCCCGTAATGTCTATTTTTACACTTGCATATGCAGCCCAGTAAACTAAGATTATATGCAGTATAAGATCGTTTAGAGACATATTAACTTAATTTCACAAATTAATTTTGATGTTCCCTCTCCTCTGACAAGTCTGATACCAAGCACAATCTCACTGCACTGTGAGACCTGATCCAAAGCCCATTCAAATTAATGATACTGCTGGGTATGGTATAAGAACCTAGATAGAACATTTTCACTTGTTGTTTGTCCTAGTAACTAAATATGACAATTCAGTTGATGTGTTATCATTGGTGTGTATCTTTGTCTGATTTGTAATAGTTAGGTAAATGCGATTTTTATTTTAAGTGCTTGGATGGTGCTCAAGAGATGTCTGTGATGGGGGACATATAAGTACAGTCTGAGAGTTTTGTCGGTGCTTGGAATCCCATACATATTTGTGTCTGTGGGGTCTTTTTTTTTTTGGCGCATGTTTTTTTAAAAACAGATTTTTATCCTTAAAAGGAATACGCTTGATGTTTAGGCCCTCAGATTTACTTCCTTAAAGACAGGTAAATTCCCTTGTGAATTTTTTTTTTATATATTTAGGCCAAAATTTTCAAACTTAGCTGCTTACAAGTAGGGTCAATGATTTTTCATAGATGCTGAGCATGCATAGTTCCTATTTATTTCTGGCCTTATTTTAGATCCAGTTATTGGTGCAATTTTTTTACACTGGTCACGTAATATATAAATGTTAATATTTTAAAATATATTTAGTATTGGTGTCTATGCTTTGTAGGAATGATGTTTAGTTACATGTGTGCAAAACTCTTTTTATGATTCCTGAAAAACTTTCCATTACATCGGTCTGATGCTGCACTATGCAGAGAACCACCTGAGCATGTCCCACTTACGCTCAAACAGTAGGTGCTTAGCAGTGTGGCCTAACTGATAGCACAATGGATTGGGACTCCAGCAATGTAGGTTCTGTTCTCAGCTCTGCTGCTGACTGTCTGGGTGACCTTGGGCATGTCAATTCACTCCTCTGTGCCTGCTTTCCCCATCTGTGGAATGGGGGTAATTATATTTACCTCCTTTGTAAAACGCTTTGAGAAGTGGAGATGCAGAGAACTAGATATTCTCTGATTAGGCTTGTAATCTGTACTTGTTTGACCATTTAATGTGTGTTTGCATTGCTCTGACAGAAGAATGAAGAACAACATTTAAAAAAAAAAAAGAAAGAAAGAAAAGCCCCAAGCCTATCAAGAAAAAGATTAGCTGTCAAATACAGAAGTATTATGAATTACTTTCTCACAATGGCAATGAGTCTTTTCAGAACATTTTGCCAGTAGAGAGACTCTGATGCAATGTCATCTTGATGCTGATCATCTATGGTGGCCTTTAACCTTCGTCTCATCTCAAGCTCTTTCCACCTATGGAATGCTCTCTGGTGATTTGCTGCTTTCTCATGGCATGCCAGATTTCTAGCCAGATTTTTCCAGTCCTTGTTCCTGTAGAACCCAATGTGGCTGGAACATTAGACTGGAAGAGTTTGCAACAAAAACAGTATGGAGCATTCTGTGTTTTTGAGTACATAAGCCATGGCCTCTTCACTTTGTCACCATTGGGGATTTCACGCCAGTAATGTGTTGGATGGAAACTTCTATTTTCATTGTCTTTTGGGGAACATGAAGTTTTTCACTTGCTGTGGCCTATGCAGTACAAGGAAGTCCCTCAGGCTACTGCTCAAGTGGGTCCACAGTACCGGGTCATCTAGACTTAAGGAACTAAACTCAGCAGCAGCTGTTTCTTGCGCCTCCACCACACTCTTCTCTGATTTACACTTTTCTTCAGGAATGTGCATGGTTACATCCATTTGAGATGGAGATATGGATGCTGCAGTAGCTGCCAGGTCACCTGCACTCTGACTAACTGGAAGATCAGGCATCTGCCCACCACTCACCATGAACATTTGTGTCTATGTATCTAATAAATAAATGCTCTAATAAATTTGTTAGTCTCTAAGGTGCCACAAGTACTCCTGTTCTATTTGTGTCTATGCATCTCAGGAGAACTCCTTCCTGCGTAGATAGAAAAGCTTCCTTTGCTTTCTTTCTTTTTCTGAATGCTGCCCCAGAGGGGCGTTTTCTTCTTTCACTCATGACTGCTGTTCTGTGCCAGCTATAGTGGCTCTTAACACTCAATTGAAGGGGACAAATAAGCAGGCTGGTAGCAGGGCCTGAGTGAGGGAAGATATCAGCATCTTAAGGGCCTAACTGGCTCCTACTACTTCAGTTGATTGTCTGTTCGACCTCAAGTGGGTTCAGGGAAGCAGCAGGAAACAGGAAGCTCCCTGAGAAGCTGGTGTTAATCAGTCCAGGTTCCTGGGGGTGCTAGAGAGGTACCTAAGAGGCTCCTCCTCCTCTCTCTCCTTGCAGCTCCTGCTGCTTTCTGTTATTCCCTCTCAGCTTTTCTCCTGCCTTCCTGTTATGTCTCTTGTGCCCTCCTTCCTCCAGCATAGCACTCCACTGTCTCTGTGCATCTAGAGCAGTGAGAATACATATGCACAGCAGCAGACACAATTTTCTACACTCTGGGTCCTTGTAGCGCCCCCCCTCGCCCTGTCTGGCACCTGAGGCGGCCGCCTCAGTTCACTTCATGGTAAGGCCAGCCCTGCTAATAACTAGTACACTCTTTTCTACCATAGATTTTCCCATTGCTAACATTTAGGGAAGATGCAGGATGGAACAGACCATCAGTTCAATCAAAAGGGTTTATATTGTACTTGAGGGTTTTTTCTCCTACCGTTTTTAAGGGTAAACTATCAAACATGTCACTTCTGGATAAAGCAAAGACGACTTATTTATCTCATCAGCGTGCCAAATTTGAAATTACATGTTTGTTTTTATGGAACTAGGAACAAGCATTTGTGGTGTCTGAGGAGCTTGCATATTAACCTAGCAACTGATCCCAAGGACGAGTTTGCTCACAATCTGTGCTGCAAGCATTTTGAAGTTC